GGATAGGGAAAGTTTGATTAAAGCCACAGGTTTTCAGATGGTAAAAAAGGTTAAATATCTGGGAGTATATTTAACTGCTTCAAATGGAAAATTGTATAAGAATAATTATGAACCATTATAGGTAAAAGTACAAAAGGACTTAAAAGACTGGAAAAAATTGCAATTGTCATTGTTGGGGAGAATCTCAGCTGTAAAAATGAATGTTCTACCAAAGTTTCTTTTTTTGTTTCAGATGATACCTATTCTAAAAAAAGAGGCAAATTTGGATGAATGGTAAAAGGGTATCAACAATTTTATATGGGCCGGGAAGAAACCAAGGGTTAAGTTTAAGATACTACAGGGTGCTCGAGAAAGAGGGGGACTTAAGGCACCTAATTTGAAATTATATTATGATGCAGCCGCCTTAACTTGGTTAAGTGACTGGCTTAATTTAACAAATATGGATATTCTCTTTTTGGAAGGTTGGGATTTAATATATGGTTGGCATGCATACTTAATTTTTAATAAGAAAGTCGATCGGACTTTTAAATCACATATTTTGAGGAATGCCCTACTTCGTATTTGGAAAAAGTATTATTATAGATTAAATTATAAAATATCTATCTGGGGGATTCCCAGACACGCAATTGCGGGAACTTCTAAGGGGATAAATTTTGATAAAATCTCGTATATAGAATTGGCATTTGAAATCCCTAGATGTATTAAGGCAGGAAAATATTCTACAGTCATGGTTTCAATACTTACAAATAGTGGATAGATGGACTGTAGATAAGAAAGAGGGAATAACATTAGAAGATAAACAATTGGTTATTCAGATTAAAAACCAGAGTCCGGATCATATAAAAAGAATTTACAATGTGTTATTAGAGTTAGACTCGGAAACAGAACTGGTTAAAGATTGTATGATTAAATGGGCTCAGAATATACAGGAACCGATCTCAGTGGACTTATGGGAGACAATTTGGACTAGAAATGTTAAATTTACACAAGCTCAAAATTTGAGAGAAAATTTTTATAAAATGTTTTATAGATGGCATTTAGATGCTAAAAAAATTATCCTGTATGTATCCTAATATACAGCCCAAATGTTGGAGATGTGGTAATAATGATGCGACATATTTTCATATTTGGTGGAATTGTAAAAAAGTAAAGGCTTTTTGGATTATGATTTGGTGGAGCATTCAAAAGATTTTTAGAAGGAAAATAAAGTTTACTCCTCAACTATTTTTACTGGGTATTTTCGTTGATTTAAATGAAAAAGAAACTATCTTGATGTTGAATTTAGTAACTGCAGCAAGGTTATTGGTAGGTTTATACTGGAAGAAAGATTCTTTGCCTACTTTAGAAGAATGGACACTTAAAGTATCTAGTTTTGCAGAAATGGCAAAAATTTCTGCTTATTTAAAGGATCATACACAAGAAAGATACATCATTGTATAGAGAGGTTGGATAGATTATATTCAGAAAAAGTATGGAATTAAAAAGTTTCATTTATTTTATGAATGAATATTATAACAAATATTATAGAGAATTGTCTTATAGGTTATGGAGTTAAAGGTTAATTACGATATTTTCTTTTTTCTTTTCTTTTTTCTTTTTTTTCTTTTTTTTATTATTAAATTTTGTTATTATTAACCCTGTATTCTGCTCTGGGAAGTGAAGGGAGTGGGGTTGGGGGTGGGAGGGAGGGTAAGAGGGGGGTAAGTGTAGTATAGATAATGGTTGTTTATAGGAGTGCGGCCCGGGCACTCCCCTTATGCTGCGTTCATGGGTTTGATAGGGATGAGAGGAGAGAAGGTGTAGAGAGGAAGTAGGGTATTGAGAGGAGAGGGGGAGGGGAAAAGAGTAGGAGGGGAGGAGAGAAAGAGGAGGGAAGTAGGGAATGTTTTAAGAAAGGGTGGACGCAGCCTGGGGGGAATGGGCGGGTCGCACCAATGGTTATGAATTTATCTTATTTTGTATTGTATTTTTATAATGTTTAAATGGAAAAAATAAAAATTTTCAACAGCAAAAAAAAAATGTGGAACTCCAGAACCTAGCAATAGTACAGACATAAGCATAAAGTCCCTCTATAAGATATTTGCTGAGCCTATTAAACTTCTAAAATTATTCAGAAGAGAAGCTTTGGAATGACTGGGAGTGAGATTGCAGCACCTTTTTAAAGCAGTCATGTCTTTTTTCAGGTTTCTGTATAAGACTGAAAACAAATCTGTGATTGCTTTAAGACATCAACAATTTGAGCAGCTGGGTCTTTATGCAACTCATTAAATCAATTACATTATTCTCTAGGTTTGTACAGAAGTCTGAAAAAGAAGACACGGGTACATTAAAGAGACGCTTTACACACATATTTTTCAAGGGACCTTTTCTGAATTATTTTCAAAGCATGGACAGCCTTAATGTTGACCACAACTGTTTCCAGTTACAAATGTACTAAAAGCAATCTAAGCAATCTGGAAGATCTTAAGCAAATGGCTTCTCTTTGCCTTCTATAAAACAAAGAGTAAGGAGTGTTGCCTACTATAATATCTTGGAATATCTGAAATTGTAAATAATAGTCTTTTTCTAATGCAGGGACCATCAAACATAGAAAATAACTGAAATCTTATAGCAGACATGTCAAAAACAAGGCCCGGGGCCCGTATGCAGCCCACAAAGTGGTTTCATGTGGCCCGCGAAGCCATCCTGGAAACAGTGAAGGAACAGCCCCGCTGCCTTGGCCCTGGCCCAGGCCGGCCGGGAGCCAATGTACAATTTTGTGGTGACCATCTATGCTGAAACGCATTCAGTCTTAGCTCCACAAGGCCGTCTAGAAACAGTGAAGAACCAGCCCCTGTTGTGTTGGCCCCGCCCTCTGGATGCAAGCTGGGGAGGTGTCACCTTTTGTGAGGAATGAAGAAATGGACCATGCCTTGGCACTTGCCCCGGTCCCACCTCCTTCTGCCAGAGACCATCAGATCTGTCCCACTCCTGCCCAAGCCCCCACAGGCACCCTTGACGCGAACAATGTAGAGCTGGCCATATCCATCCATTAGGCCACACCAACTCCATCCACGCCTACCCAGTGGGCCGCACACACCGTGGCCACGCCCCCTGCCCCTGAGGGCAACCGTAATGCTGATGCGGCCCTCAATGAAATTGAGTTTGACACCCCTGTCTTATAGGATTACCAAAATCTTGTGAAATATGACAACCTCATTGCCAAGATGAGAGGAATTTGGCATTTTTTGTGAGATTGCAGCTGTTAATTAATAATCATAGATTATGTATAATTTATGGGAGGTTCTGTGGCCAACACCTGACACTTTGAAAGTGTTGCACTACCGCCAGGATTCCCAAGGAATATTTTGGTCAAACTTAAATCTAGTTTACTTCATGAACAAAATAAGAATAAAAAACTTGCTAATCTGAGCAAGCTGGAAAAGCAGTAAGAACACTTCATATACAGAGCTCAACTAATTATTTATTTACAAAATTTATATTATACTATATCATATATAATAGACCATAATTAATTATATTATATTACTATAACACCATATCTGTAAAAAAAAACAACCTCATTTGCCATCAAAAAATATCTCTTAGATATATTTGGAGAAATGTAAACCATCTATGAAGCAATTTAAAAAACTAAGGTCTCAGGGAAAAAACAAATCAGCCAAAACAGAAAAGCGCCAATGTGCATTAAAAAAAATGCTTCCACATATACTGGGATTCAAGCTAGGAAAGCAAAAAATATTCTTCTAATTCTGAATATATGCACTACCTCTATAAAGCTAGTTTTAGAAATGATAATAAAATTGTAGTCAGGAGATTTTCTTATTATCATTCTTTTCTCCTTTTCTGAAAAATCTGTTTTTAATGTTTAATAAGAACAAATGCTGGATTTTTTGGGATGGAATACCATTTTTTCTTCCAAATAGACGTATCATTGCTTTTCTCTTTACCAGCGAATTCATTTGTGAAGGAAGAAATTCTTTGCATCCACTAATCATATTTATTTCAGTGAACCTTGAAAAAGTGATAAAGGCACTCCTTCTAAAAAAGGGATTATTTACAGTCAACCTTCACCCTCTCAAAGGAAAACAAACAAGAATAAGGCACATAAAATAAAGCTTACACTTTACCTGATTTTATTTTTATCACTTACTGAGCAAGAAAAACACTGAGCTGTATTATGAGAGCCTGGGAATCCCATTCTGAAAGGCTGCTTTTAAACAAGACAATTGACCCTTAAAATGTAGATGAGGTTTAGTAAATAATAATAATAATTTCACTTAATAGCTCCCATTGTCATAATGGCATTCAGAGGAGCAATATAATACATGCTGTAATTTCAACAATCCTCCTTTTCATTTTCCCCCCCCCCTCAGAGGCTGCTGATCGCTTGCCTTTTGCATTCTGCTACTCAAATGATCAGAAAAAGGAAGGCTAATGCAAACAGGCTTCCTGAGACCCACTTCAGGCATTTGCCCCCTACCCCTGCCACCGGGCATCAGGCCCACTGTTCCCTGAAGCGGTGCCATGCTTCATTTGCTTTGTGCAGGCATTATCCTGGGGAAGCTTATTTGGTGCATTGCAGCATACCTTGCCTGCTGCATTGCAAACCATTTCTGGTCTTTGCCACCGTTGCTCTTGACAGCAAAAATCTGCTCTTGCTGGCTTCTCTGCTCTCTCGCTCTCTCTCTCTCTGTGAGAGTACAGTAGGCATATGCCTGAAAGCGTGCTCTTCATAATAAGGGCTTTCCCCCCCCCCCAATGGAAAAAAAAAGTGGGGCGGGGAGACTTAACATGGCTGTGAAAAAGTCAAGAGTTTTCAAAGCTGCAAAATATACTGGCCTGGCTGATATCCACTAAGCACTCATTAATCTCTGTAATAATCCTTAAGACTGCTTACACGGGTATGAAGTATCCAGATCAATTAATGTTTTAAATATATTAAAGCATTTAAAGTGTTCGTGCACGGACACACAAACACCCAGACAGAAGTTGCCTACTTTTTGTTTATCCTCAGCTCTTTGAAGCAATTCTTTCTCTTTCCGAAACTTCTCCTGTTCATCTTTTTCTTCCTTCTTTCGGGCAGCAATTGCAGCTTCCAGACGGGCAGCCTCCTCTTGCTGGGCACGCCACAACAGCACCTTCATGAAAAATTGAGACAATCACCGTGTTCAGTCAGCAACCCCAAAAATTCTATTTGCTCATGTTTTGGAAGTTTGCCCCAACCCACTTGTGTGAATACAGCCCAATTCACTTTGGGCGAACATGTTTCCAAATATCTGATGTTTCCCTACTACTCCAGACAGCCACCACCTGCCCCTTTTTACATACCCTGCACAAACATATAAAAAAACGATGGGCTTAGAACGCACAGTTGTGGCTAACCTCTTAGCCTTTTTGATCACCTACTCCTGTGGACGTTCCCCAACTCTTGCTAAGCTGCTTTCTCATGGTAGTGTGTGTTCTGGAATTAGGGAGTGAAGAAAGCAATGAGTATTTTATCCTTGCACGGGCACTCTAGTAATAGCAATAGATTTATATAGCGCTTTATAGCCCCTCTAGGCAGTTTTTAGAGCCACCATATTGCCCCCAACAATCTGAGTCTTCATTTTACCAATCTCAGAAGGATGGAAGACTGAGTCAAGCTTGAGCCAGTGAGGATCGAACTCTTGCATTGAGCTGAATTAGCCTGCAATACTGCATTCTAACCACTGCGCTGCCATAGATTCTAGGTGTGAAGGTCATCACAGCTGCCTAGCTAAAGCAGGAAGGCACCTCTTTAAGGCAGCAACAGTACCGGTAGTCCTCACTTTACAACCACAATGGACCCCAAAATTTCCATTGCTAAGCAAGACAATTGTTAAGTGAGCTGTGTCCCCAAAGTTTATGAGTTTTAAGTCACATTCAATCTGAAATTGACAGCACATGCAAGCAAGATGTGCTGTTTGTTGCTGGAGACTGGGATGCCAAAGTTGAAAATATTAAGGAGGAAACCATAGTTCAATAATAAAGGCCTAGGAAATTGAAATAAAGCAGGTCAACTTCTCAATTTTTACTACTAAGCAATGATTTCTTCATTGCTTATCCTTCTATGCAAAGGATAACTCTACCAAATATTAGAAACATCTCAGAAACAACTATCAGACTATTACAACCTGCTCTATAGAAGAGAATATATGTAGTGCAGAGTTGAACTGTGGAGACCTTATTATACCACATGGCATCACCATAGCACACTAACTAAAGTCCTGCAAAACATCTTAACTGAATCAAAAGATCCAGTAGCCGAAAAAGAAAAAACAGGAGTTATCCATAACATAGAGATTGTAGAAATTGTAAGGACTGTAATAACCACTATGTAGGATAGACAAGCAGAAGATTGGCAGAACACATTCATGAATACCAACTAAGACATGATAAAATTCCTTAATCTCACAAAGCATGGACAGAGTAAACCATAGTTTCAATTGGTAAACTGTAAGCATCCTAGCTTAAGTTAAATTGAAAAATGCTAGAGAATTCCTGGAGGTTTGGCACCCAGACACTTCAGCTGTCAATATACACATAGAGATAAATCACATTTACACACTATTCAAAAAAAGAAAGTGAAAAAGCTAAAAAAGAAACAGAACGCATTCTTTCCAGCATTCTACACCAAGATAAGTTTAATTTTGTACAATTTTTCTGTGGGAAAAACAAATGCAGTTTTTGTGTCTGTATTCTGCACCATATTAAGAAAAACCTGAATAAATTCATGTATAAAGCAAAGACATGACCAAGGGCTGATTGTGAAACAAACCATGAACTTCACTTGTACAAGTTCCAAGTCACGATAAGGTGAATAAGAAAGTCGCTCAATTTACATATAATAATAATAATAATAATAATAATAATAATAATAATAATAATAATGACAAGCACCTGCAACATAACACCCCAGACTTAACAATTGTCGATAAGAAAGACAAAAAAGTCTGGATAGTGGATGTGGCAGTGCCTGGAGACAGCAGAATAGACGAGAAAGAACTGGAGAAGATAACAAATACAAAGACCTACAAATAGAAATAGAAAGACTGTGGCAAAAGCAAGCAAGGGTAGTACCAATAGTAATAGGCTCCTTGGGTGCAATCCCAAAACAACTGGAGCACCACTTGAACACCATTGGCATTGACAAATTCGCTATTAGTCAATTGCAAAAGGCAGCCTTATTAGGAACTGCTTCCATCCTGCGACGATATATATAATACCATCAAACATCCACCTCTGCCTATCCCAGGTCCTGGGTAAGGACTCGATAGGTAGACAAAATGGCAAATCCAGTCTGAACATCTGGCTGACTGTGCGATGATCGATAATAATAATAGTAATAATAATAATAAAGTTGGAAGGGACCTTGGAGGTCATCAAGTCCAACCCCCTGCTCAGGCAGGTAACGCTATACCATTTCGGACAAATGGCTGTCCAGTCTCTTCTTAAAAACTTCCAGTGTTGGAGCATTCACCGCTTCTGGAGGCAGGTTGTTCCACTGGTTAATTATTCTGTCAGGAAGTTTCTCCTTAGTTCTAGGCTGCTTCTCTCCTTGATTAGTTTCCATCCGTTGCTTCTTGTCCTGCCTTCAGGCATTTTGGAAAATAGCTTGACACCCTCTTCTTTGTGGCAGCCCCTGAGATATTGGAACACTGCTATCATGTCTCCCCTCATCCTTCTCTTCATTAAACTAGACATACCCAATTCCAGCAACCGTTCCTTATATGTTTTAGCCTCCAGTCCCCTAATCATCTTTGTTGCTCTTCTCTGTACTCTTTCTAGAGTCTCTCTCTTTTTTACATCGTGGTGACCAAAACTGGATGCAGTATTCCAAGTGTGGCCTTACCAAGGCATTGTAAAGTGGTATTAATACTTCACGTGATCTTGATTTTATCCCTCTGTTAATGCAACCTAGCACCATGTTGGCTTTTTTGGCAGCTGCAGCACACTGCTGGCTCATATTTAAATGATTGTCCACTAGGACTCCAAGATCCCTCTCACAGATACTACTATTGAACATATACCCATTATTTTCAGAGAACATCATGAATTACTTTGAAGATCTGAACTTCATTGATAAGAAACAAGAGAAATTGTTTATTATGTTCCATCAAATCAGTGTAATTCTTAATGACCCACATACATAGATTTTCTCCACGTAGAGGAACTGTGGAATGAGTTTAAAGAAACTGTTAAGGATTAATGTGAAGAAAAAGAAAGTTAAAGACAAAGAAAGAAGCAAACACATGTCAGAACAAAACTTGGAAACTGCCAAGAAGAAAGGGGAAGGGGAGGGGAGGGGAGGGGAGGGGAGAGGAGAGGAGAGGAGAGGAGAGGAGAGGAGAGGAGAGGAGAGGAGAGAAGAGAAGAGAAGAGAAGAGAAGAGAAGAGAAGAGAAGAGAAGAGAAGAGAAGAGAAGAGAAGAAGAGAAGCCAAAACCATGAAAGATAAAAATATCAGGAAGGAACTAAGAAAGCCACTGGGTGAGAAAACAATAAGTAGTACAATGGCATCTGAAAAGACACTGGACATAGAAACAGAGAAAGAAAAACAAGGAAAGTCTTCCAAAAGATCTCTGAACTCAGAAGGCGATCCAACCTTGAGCTGGTAGTCACAATGGACAGATAGTAACTGGTTCAAGGGAGATCAAAGGAAGATGGAAGAAACTTACTTAAATTATGTACAACAGAGATGTCAACATCATTGATACCTAAAAAAATATTTCCTACTTGCAGGAATCTCTAGTATTAGAAAAGTACATTAAATCAGCACTCTGATCATTACCAAATGAGGAGACTACAGGAATGATGGAATATCTGAAAAACATATGGCAAGCAACAGAAAACTTTACAAGGTTTCTAACTAAACTATGTCATCAAACAACACAATCTGATGAACAGATTGGAATAGGTCAATTTACATGCCAATACCAAAGAAAGAAGACTTAATAGAGTGTGCAGCTATTGTACAATATCTTTAATTTGACATGCTAGTAAAATAGTACTTAGTACTATTATAAAATAATATTAATCTAATCTACATTCCAAATGTTCAAACTGGTTTTAGAAAAGACCAAGGAACACTAGACATTATTGTTGACACATCCTGGATAATTAAGAAAGCCAAAGAATACCAAAAAGAAGTAAACATGTGCTCCACTGATTATAGAAAGTAATAAATTGTATCAACCATATCAAACTGGGGAATGTCCTTAGTAAAATGGAATCCCAGTATATCTCATTATATTCATACAAAACCTATACACATCAGGAAATCACAATTCAACTGGAATATGCTAAAACAGACTGGCTGCAGATCAGCAAAAAAATGAGACAAGACATCCCACATGCTGAATATATATCAAGGGAAGCAGAATTATTAGAAAGATGAGCATGATTTTCAGACTGGAAGAAGAATGGAATCCCAGTACATCTCATTATATTTGTACAAAATCTATACACGTCAGGAAATCACAATTCAACTGGAATGTGCTGAAACAGACTGCCTGCCTGCAGATCAGCAAAAAAATGAGACAAGACTTCCCACATGCTGAATATATATTGAGGGAAGCAGAATTATTAGAAAGATGAGCATGATTTTCAGACCGGAAGAAGAATATGCTGATGACACTACTCTAATAGCCGAAAATGGAAAACATCTGGAAGTTCTAGCAATAAAAGTCAAAGAATGAAAAATGTGACTAAGACCAAACTAATGACAACAGATGGAACAACCAGTCTTAGAATTGACTAGGATGATACTGAATTAGTGAATAACTTCTGCATTTTAGTATCAACTATCATCAAAGGAACCAGCAGTAAGAAATATGTCACAGACTAGTGCCCAGTAGTTTACCAATGATGACCTTGGAAAAGATATTCAGAAGCCCAGATATGTCTACATCTACAAAGTTCAGATTCATATGGGCAATAATTTTTCCTGTGCTACTCAATGGAAGTGTGTGTTGGATTTTGATGAACACTATAGAAAGAGAATTGATGGTTTTCATATTTAGTATTGGAGAAGACTCCTGGGAATAACATGGATAGCAAAAAATAAAATAAAATCAAACAACCCACTGGCTTACAGAACAAATAATTCAGAATTCTCATTC